TGCTATTTTAATCGCTTGTTGTAAAAATTGGTCATATTTGCAAGTGTAGCAAAGAATAAGTATCCAGAAAACAGTGGGGCTTTGCTTTGTGGATTAAGGAAGTTGGTTAAGACATCAGCTGGTCTTCCCATTTCAGACAATGAATATAGCTAGAATCCTCAAGAGGATTATCAAAACTGTGTAAATCTGCGTTTTTTCAATATTATATCAAATAATGGGTTTAGAAGGAGAGTACAGCTATATAGTTTCAGAGCTATTGATGCAGTTAAAGTCCAATGTATAAATTGGATCAGTGTGGAAGACTCTACATGGCTGAATAAGAACGTAGGAGTTGGCTTGTGTACACAAAGGGACGAAATTTGGAAAGTGAAAAACAAGGCAAGGTGATGAATGACTACATGTTGTTAATGGTTGTGTCAGTAAAAACGAAAACCGACAGTGTTCATCACCCTAAACGAAATAGGGTGAATACCTCTCATATAACTGATGTACTGGTATCCTCGAAACACTACTTATAAACGAAAAAGAAGTGTTTAAACTGCCTGTAGAGTATATAAATGTGAGTTGAGCCTATCAGAAGGCGGTAAATTATTCAAATCAAATATCGGAGATTAAGCGTCTCAGTACCCTAGATTGTTATTAGTAAGCCGATATGCACAACAGTTATATAGTGTTACAAAAGCCAACAAAAACTTTATCCAAGATTATATGCAGCTCGAGGTTGGCTTGGCAGTGAAATTCATTTTAACTTTGTCATAGTATTATGAGTAATTCCAAAGCGACCCGAAGCTTTGCATACAGATTAAGAGGTTATAAATTTGCTTGCTTGGCCACATGAGCATAGGCCCGTCGAGGTACACAAGAAACATGACTCTTAAAGCGAAAAATGCTTCACTAAGCTCAGTCTACTACTGGCGAATTATTAGTAACGGGTTAATATCAGATATAATCATTATTTGATGCTTGTATCAACAGGTATCGGTATAAAAGTAAGCACAAAATATGTGATCGTAGATATGAGGGCCAGATGGTGTGGCCTTCTGTTTGGTCGCAGTCTACTTAATCTTCAGTGTTGGCTCGACCGCGCTTTCGCAACTTGGTCGGAGCGTCAAGGAGACCTTGTAGAACGTACCTAGCCCTGTGTCCTCTGACATAGTATTCGTGATGTCCAGAATCTGATTATTTAAAATGTACCAAGTCAATGGTCCAATGCTGGAAATCACTAATCCTATGGAAGAGGACACAGGACTAGGTACGTTCAAAAAGGGCCCTCTCTGATGCTCCGACAAAGCTGGGAAAACGAGGTTGAACCAACGCTATAAAGCTAAAGAAGACTGCGATCAGAAGGCCAAGCCATCTTGGGCTTCATATCTACAAAAGCTTGGCACGTCTTCACCGGAATAGAAGGAGATTGCCTCGGAAACAGCGTCAACGAGAATGTTTCAGTAAAGCCAATCCATAGCTGGTCAAAGTAAATCCTCCCTCCTCTTCTGGTAAGATCGACATTCGAATCTCTTCACCGATCACTTTCTCATTAATAGTAGCATCAAACAACTACAGAGGAAGAGAAATCTGCCATCGTCTTCTAATGAGATCGGGCTACGAATCTCTTAGTTAAGCACCTTCATCAAAACAATGATATGCCAGGAAAGCCATAAAATCCGTTTATATTTCGTGTATACAATTATTAAGGATATAATGATTATGATACTATTAATGATGATGATGATGATGATGATGATGATACTGTTTTAAAAAACAACACTTACTCATCCAAACTGAGGGAGGCTACGCCAAGCATAGGTGCCGCGCGGCCTTTGGCTTCTACAGCCGAAGGACGATTCCAATCAGAACCTTCCGTGTCAAGTTGATTCAGACTTTGATGACTGCTGCCCCGAACTGCTGCCCCTTTGTTCGCAGAACCGACATGTCTGGGCTGACCAGGATGTAGCTCACCTGGTAGCGCATGCCGTGTCAGCGAGCCCGGGTATAAGGTCGAGCCCCAGACTGAGGGCTCGTTTGTGACAGAGTCAGATAGCCGAGGCAGAATGGTGGAGGACTGTGAGGAGGTGAAGAAGAAGTTGGAAGAGAAAGAGGATACGGTACTGGCCGGTGCATTGGGCTTAACAGGGTCTGGGCATGGCGTCTGAAGTGAACGAGTCTGGCTCGGAGGACTTGAGTGCTGGAAGGGTGGCTGAGGTTGTTCGCCGCATCCAGAAGGGAATGGTGCCGGCATTGCGGAAAAATAGCTTTCTAGAGTACGCGGAAGACTGGATGCCTCTGAGTAGAGTGGCCTGGCAACGGGGACAGCAGGTAGCGAGAGAGCAGTGCTGTCCAAAGGAGCAGCAGGAGGAAGAGGGAAAGGATCGCCGCAACTGGGCTCCTCCTCGGATTGGCGACTTGGCAAAGACAAAATAGTTGGTCTGGTTGGAGAATGCTGGTCGTCTTGAGGCAGGCCTTGATCCGAACAGGGACTCATGTCAGGTGGCAAAGTTGCTGGTTGGCTGTTTAGAAGGTACTCGCCTATTTGTGAGTGAGTTTCGAGTGGAGCGCAGACTGGCGCATGCAGATGAGCCTGCTTGCGCAGATGGGCCGCCTATGAAAAATGCAA